CTTTACAGCAGAGTGGCTTACGTTTCCCCTTTTAAAATCAATATAAAGGTTAGTGACATTTATTTTTATATTAAATTGTAGACCACAGAACGTATTTGAACATTAATTGATGAGTAGATCACACGAAATATCGTTATATACCTATGTATATTTTTTAAATTAAAATTATTTTTTCTCTGCTATTAAGTTAAGTATACGAGAAATTCACTAATACATAATGCAGTCCACTGTTAAATACTACACTATTAAATTAATAGTGCTCAAATAATATTTTAGGGCCTGTATACTATTACCTATTATAATATTAAGGATTTCAATTAATATAATAAAATCATCTTATTTTTAATAATCGTCTTAAGTCGATTTTAGTGTTATGGTTAACAAAACAATGTTTTTGTTTCATCATGCGCGAGGACTTAACACAATATAATATTGTGTTAGTTGAAAGAGTAAAACATTCTATTTGATATAGACAACGATGGGCGAATAAGGATGCAAAATGATTATTTGAGGCGCTATACTAGGATTGAAGAATGCAGAAAAAAACCATACAGGATTGTTAATTGTTATACATGGGAAGAAAGTGCCTACCTATACAAATTATAATTTCGTGTGCGTAAAGTATTCAGAAACTACCACTGTGTTCATTCTGCACACTTGAATGATGTCCGTATATACATTATATAATATAGGTACCTATTGGATATATTATGCGGATACTGCTGAAGTAGGTATCTTTGCGGGCTTTCCATGGAATAAATCGTCACCGCCACTATGCTGAGGTTTAGGTACATTTTCTCCGGGCTTGAGCTTTAATGGTATAAAACATAGTTAGTGACTATAGAGTGCACGATACATTCGTTTGGAATAATATTTTGTCTAATAATATTAGGGTAATTTTGGAGTTAGTAAACAAAGATAGGACTTACCTACCAACACAGTTATTCCATTATCTACCCATAAAAAGTATTACGCCCTCTATATTATACGACTTGTATGAATAATTCAAATTAATTTATTGTGAAAAATTATACTACACGATATCTCCCTTCAAATTCATCTGTATCTTTCGCTTTACCTTTCCCTGAACTATTTATAATCGCTTTATTTTACATAGAACGAACAAATGTACAATATTATATTGGGCTACTATATAGTGAAATCGATATCAGATTTATAGTTATTTTTAAAGCATTTTTAATATTTTAACAGGTCTATTTTGAAGAAAAAATAATACATAATATGTCAGTTTTGAATCAATGTAATTGTCCAGTAACACCAACATTTGTCGTAGAACTGATATTTACTAATTACAACTGGGAGATGACCATAAATAATTATTTACTGTTCTTAGGTTGTACCTATATCCTGCATGTACGTAGGATCAATTTAAAACCACGGATCCAACGTTATATTCTCATGTGGATGTCCTGCAGAATATTTTTGACACTTATTACTATTTTAAATTGACGACTTGACTGAACTACGACGTTAACGTAAGTATGCAATATTAATAACAATTAAATTATGATTTTTTTTTTTTTGAATTAAACATATTAAAGAGAATATTGCAATGCTTACAAATTAATTCGAGTACATTAATAAACGATTCAGGATTAAGAGCGTGTAACGAGTAATGTCAGGTTTTCAAGTAAAAACATCGACACTCCGGATTATACGTACAAGAATTATATTATTATTTATAACTATTCTGAATCTTCTGTCTTGTGAATGAAACGAATTTATTTCCTTCATTTTCGTTATGCTGTAAAAATGGCTATAATACCTATATATGTATCGTATATTACTGCAACAATAATAGTATAATAAAATTAATATATTAATAACTAATAATAATAGTGCATTAATAATAATAATAATAATAATATTAAAAATAATAATGATAGTAGTAATAATAATAATTATTATTTTAAAGTTCGTATATTATATTGTAGTAAGCATGTTCAAGATATTTTTTTTTCTGCAAAAGACAAATTGAGGAATAATAGATATGTACAGTGGAAAAATATCAAGTAGCATGGTACATTTTGTTACCTAGGATTTTAATTAGTTGATTTTTGTTTGTTTGTCTATACTTTATTTGCCATTTGCGTTTCTATGCCAACACGAAAATAGGTTGGAAAAAAAAAATTGACGCAGCCCAAAAACATATCTATGTTAATACAAATTAAAATCTAAGAATAAATAACTATTCATTGTTCATAATTGTATTTTGTTTCAAGTGTCTGATCATTTTTCTGATAGTTACTCAAAGCAAAGCATTTGTAAAAAAATTTATCTTGCGGTTTTCGTAGAGAGGAAGCTACAATTTACTTATATTATAGCTATAATATAAGTGTATCTGTGGTGTGTTGACTGTGTTTGCCTCATAGAGTGTAACATGACATGAAACAACTTTAAACTTCACATTAATGATGAAGTTTTGTTCCATAGCGGTAAAGTGGAATTATAATTCAATTACAGCGAGTACCACCGTGTCTAACGTCAATGTTTTAAATTTTGATTACAAGACACGAGGAACTTAGTTTTGAACCCTAACGATCCTTGCAGCAAAATAAATATTACAATAAAATAAATTTAATCAAATAAACAATTATTGTAAAAATGTATAATTTGGGGGTTCTTCATTCATTTTACAGCGCAACTAAAGTGAAAAATCTCTTAATATTTTATATCAATACCTAATTCATATTTAATCAGAAAAATTTAATGAAAGTTTTTCAAACGATACTAAAATATAATTTTTTTCCCATCAATTTTCCATCAACATTTGTCAGTCGTAATAATATCCAGATATCCTGCTGCATCATGGCTCTACGCGATTCACGAATAGTCCTGCGTTCACATGATATTTTTATATTATGATTACCTATGTTTGTCATATTGTCGTACAAGCGTTACCACGACGTTTTATTTTCGTTGTTGGGTATAATATATAGTCACAATAATATATGGAATCGACACGTCAAACGCGCGAGGGAGGACCATAGGCAAGTAATTCGTGACAGGTATAGATAATAGTAATACATAATATTATTATGGTACACGATATTATGTGAATCGAGAGACGGATATGGTGGTATCTCTGGCCCATAATATCGCACCGGTACAACGGCGAGTGTCCCGAAAGCAATAAGCCTTTGTTTCGCGTGCGTCGAAACAATATTCGAAGGAGGAAAATATAAAAGGAGACAGATAACTTGTTCCACGTTTACGCTGTACACATATTGCACACTGTTATTATTCCTGCGTGACAACAGTTTCCGAATGTTTGTCATAAATTGTGCCATGTTGTGTTGCTTTTATGTACTTACTTAAAACTACCTATATATTTATGTATTAGGCCCACCTACCTTCGAGAATGTGTGATCAACTAAATGCACGAAAACAATAATGGTAGAATACGAGTTTGAAACCAAAATTTAAAAAAGTGAGGAAAACATTCACTCTGCTAGCCTGCTAAATTTCCGATTTCTAAACCTATTTTACTACATAAAGCAATGAACTATAATTCCAAATACAAATTAAAAAAAAATTTGGTAACCTTAATGTTTTGGTTGCATATTTTGAATAGTTTGAATATATAATAAATCATAATAAAATGAGCAATTACTTAAAATCAACAATCGTAATTAAATATTTCAGTACAAACAATCGTAACTATGTAAAATAACTACGAACAATAATAAGAATGGGGAGAGCGTGTCGTTTTTTTCTTACATTTAGAGTTTAGACCAATAAGCGGAAGAAAAAAAATTATAAACTTCTAGGAGTCCAATTATAACTAAAAAAAAATATTTGAATTTGTTTGCATCTTGCCTGTGTTTGTAGGAAACAATTTTTTTTTCAGTATCACTAAAGAAAATGTGAATTTGAAAAAAATAGAAAGTTAATTTTGTACTATATTATTGATTAAAAAATACAGCAAATCCATTTCCTACATAATCTAATAATCTATAAAAGAGATAAAGGAATATTCAAATATGTTTTCAAAATTCAAATCGGGCTTTTGGTACTGGGTGAATTTTTCTTCCGCTTTTTGGGATTTTCATAACCTATTTGGGAGTTTGATAATATCAGATACAAATAAACAGTTGAATTTAAACATTTTTGATATTAGTGTAACTCGTGAGGATACCGTTGTACAACCTGTCATCAGCTTTCCTGATGAACCATCAGGATTCTCAATCTTCAGACTGAACCACGATTTAAGATATAATCGTTGATAAATATAATTGTTTTTATTCATACCTATTGAAACATGTAAGTATTAATACTGTCAAAATGGAAATAATGATAATATTTAAAAAAGAAAAAAGGGAGTAAGTGGGTAACATTCTGCTATACATAGTACATTAGGTGTCTAGACACTAGGGAGTCACTGAAACGGTTAAATTTGAAATTAATAATCATTGTAAACGATAAACGATTCTGAGCGAAGACAGTTCGTCAGCCTATAATATTAAAAAGTAATATGTATGATATTATTATGATTTAAGTAATTGATTTTATTATTAAGCATTAGTACCTACTTCAATAGGTTAAATATATTTTTACCAAAAAAATTACATTTGAAAATGTAATTGTGTATTTACTATATACAATATAATAATGTACTTTAAAAGTCTCAAGTATCCACAAATAATATTTTAAAATTACAACGAATTAACTACAACCGTTATTCTTAGTTTTTATATGTGATTTCGTCAAAATTTGAACTCAAAATGTCTGTAAAAAATAACTGTGTTAATATTTTTTTAGATTTTTTGATTACAGTATGAACTATTCAGTTACATAATATGTACCTAATACGTCCACCACGACGTGCCAGCTATCGAACTCAGGTATAAAATAAAATATTTTAAATAGAAATGTACCTAATGTGTAGAATTTTGTTTTGTGAAAAAAAATACAAGAATAAAATACAAAAAATACAAAAAATAAAAAATAAATAAATAAAATAAAAAAATGGCTCTACCATGACCTTGAGTGGTTGTGGTAGTCTGGTCCTCCAGGTTGGGGGTTATGCGCAGGGCTAACAACCCTGCCATGTGAAATCAACCTTGTTCAGGATACAACAATAAACTTGCCTCGGATATGTGGAGCTTTGGAGAACAAGACCGGAAAACGGAAACCTGGCTTATATTTTGGAACTTGGAACATTCTCAAACTTTTCAAACCTGGAGCAGCACAATGCTTAGTCAAAGAAATCAGGAGATATAATTTAGGAGTGACAGTCTTGCGGGAGATTAGGTGGAATGACAAACGCACCTTGGATCTTCAAGACACAATTATATTTTACGGAGAATGTAATGGTCGAAGACAATTTGGAACGGGTTTTGCTGTACACAAAAGTATAGTTCCTTTGGTAATAGAATTTAAAAGTACTAACAATAGGATATCAACAATGACGATTAAAGGAAAATTTTTTGATATCACGTTCCTGAATGGACACGCACCTACGGAAGAAAAAACACCTGAGGAAAAGGACGAATTTTATGAGAATCTGGAACAAACCCTGAATGAGACCTCCCGAAATAGAATCAGGATAGTCTTAGGCGATTTTAATGCCAAATTGGAAAAGGAAAGCATATTCAGAACAACCATTGGCAATCATAGCATGCATGACATAACTAGTGATAACGGACTTAGACTTATTGACTTTGCTAGTGGGGGAGGCCTTGTGGTGAAAAGCACAATGTTCCCACGCAAAGATCTACAAGGGGACTTGGAAAGCGCCTAATGGTAGATACACTAATCAAATAAACCATGTTATGATTGACACAAGGTTTAAAAACTGTATACATGAGGTGAAAACAGTCAGAGGAGCTGACTGTGATTAGGATCACTACCTGTTAAAAGGAAAGCTAAATGTAAAACTTAAAAAATTGGTAGCTATAGGAAAGGTACGATTGTGGACAGATATGATGTAAATAAATTTAAGGACAAAACTGTATGTGTTCTTTTCAAACAACAGATGAATGAAACAATGTATTACTTACACATAAATCTAAAAGTTCTTAATGCATTTAGAGAAAGTAATAAAAAACAAGAAGCTGCAGAGGCAAAGAGTTTGGCCGTACAGTTTGTTAAGTTTGAAGTTATCATAATAATTGTGTGCTTATACGAAATATTAAATATCATTAATTGCTTATCAATTAACCTGCAATCAACTACTCTTGATGTAAAACGTTGTACATTATTAATTAATGCAACAAAGCAATAAATATTAGAGGTACGTAATGATGAGAAGTTTTTTGAACTATATGAGCAATCATTGGTTATTGCTCAAAATTCTAAAATACCTACGCCATCCAGTGATAATTTGTCATTATCAAATAGAACACGACAACATTCAATTACTTTAGCCGATTATTATGTAACTATTACTACTGGTAAGCGAATGGCTTATTCATCTGATGGAAATTAAACAGAACAAAAAAGAATATTTTTTAATATTTTAGGCGTAATATATTTCGTAATAAACCGACGTTTTAATACAAATGATGATATATTGATATGTATGCAACTTTAGAAGCTTTAGATCAAAATTCATCAAAATTTTAAGACAGTGAAATAATTTGCCGTTATGCTGAAACATTTCCATTTTATCGATCAAATGAATTTATTACCAAATTAAAATGCCAATATCAACTAGGAAAAACATTATTTTTATCTGTATCTGATCTTTTTGAATTATATCAAGAAGTAAAAAAGTACAAAGTTTGATTTGAATAATTAACAAAAATTATTGAAAATGTTTTGATAGTTCCAGTATCTAGTGCTTCAGAAGAAAGGAGTTTCTTGACGATGAAAACATACGAATACAAACATATATCTAAGGTCAACGATGACAAGTAGCACACTAAATAATTTAACCTTGCTGTCTATTGATAGAGAAATAAGTGGAAAATGCATAGAAAATCTATCTGCCGTAATTGACGAGTTTGCATCAATGAAAAAAAGAAAATTGGAATTTTCAATCTAAAAATATTTTAATAAAGCTGCATTTATTTTATTAATTTTATTTTATTCTACTATTTTATACTGTATTAGTTTTAAAACATAAAATAAATCCATGCAATATGCCTATAATACATATATAACATACGGTACTCTGATACGTTTTTATAAAATAAAAATATTCATTGGTAATCCTTACATCAAAATATCGGGCCTATCCAGAAAAAAGAGTCTAGCTACACCACTGGGCATATTATCTAGGATTTTTTTCTAGTGTTTGATATGACAAAAACTATTTAAAACATTATTAGCTAGGAGGACAGATATCCTAGGGGATATCTGTCTGCCTGGGCCCTGGCTCCTTTTGTTAGCTCTCCTTTCTGTAAAGTACACTTTTATAGGTCTTGACTTCACTTAAAACTATAAAAAACATTTAAAATATTTTTTTTTTTAATAAATAAAGATGGCTCTCGGAGGGGGGGTATATCGCCTAGCTCACACACTGTAAATACACCACTACCTAATGTGTTTTTCTCGTAAAAATATGCTGGTGGGTAGATCAAATGAACACGTTGATGACCCATTTATAAAAATAGTTCGCGCCGCCACCCACCTATTCCTAAATTATAAACATTATATTTTTGATATAAAAACGGCTGAGGAAATAAACATCGTTTAAAATGGCACCATCTGAAAAGTTTAGTACAAACCAGTGTTTCGGGTATTAACCCGTGGGTTGAATGAACATACCATTTATTTAAGTTTAAATTATTGTAGTAGTATAATATATTTATCATTAGAATCAAGTTCATACACATAATACGTATAATATAATATACTCGTAATATAATATAATATAATATTGTTTTATACAATTCAATTCAATTTATATTTATCTTAAAATTATTAAAAAAGTTATATTTAAACAGTGTATTTCATTCCAAAAGCATTTCTCAGAAATTCTACGTGCTTAGTCAATTTAAAACTACAAAAGTTACCAATCACATTATTAATAATCTCTTGTGCCGGATTTTTGACTGCAAAATAAATTAGTATTAGATTTGTTAAGTGGGTGAGCTTGTATTCAACGGAAACTGATTTAATTTTAATTAATTATACCATCATAATATTGGAAATCTTCCAGATTATGATAGGTCCTAACAATTATACTTTTTATAAAGACAGAAAAATGTTATCCACATAAATTTAATAGACTTTTAAATCAGTTTTTATACCTTCTATAATGGTATTATATACTTACGTCCCGCGACAAAATATTTGTATGCTCGCGCCATATCTGTAAAAATAAACTATATTGTGAACGTCTTCCATTATTTTTTTTATAACTATATCATATAAGTAAATAACTTTACTCGGTTAGTTAAAATGTTAAATACTTAATGAATTCAATATCATTTATCAGACTAACAATTTTGATTGAATCTTAACATTAATTTGAATCAAATGTAATCGTGTACTCTTTTAGTAATCAGGTATCAATGGAATTGCAAAAAAATATATAATAATAATAATTGTGTTTCTATATTTTAACATCAAACTATAACACTAATATTTTTTTAACATTGCAATTTTAAACTATAAAAAGAAACTTTTATGAATTTCTAACTGAAAAATTTTGAAATGTAAATACATACAAAAATTAATTGCGTCTATGTATCATTAATATTTTTGAAATTCTACTAAAACAATTTACGAGAAGCCTTGAGTTTTTGAGTAAAACAAAAAACTAAATAAAATTGATTTTGTCCAAAACTGGTATGCGTAAAAATTTCCATTATTCCTGTTATTCCCGACGCCTTCAAAAACTAGTAAAATTTAGTAACTACATATCTATTTGATTGAATTAAGTTAATTAAAAAAAAAATGATAAAGTAAAAAGTAGATGATTAAACTTGAACATTAGAAGAACAAAACTGTTTCAGAAAAAAAAAATACAAGGTATCTGATACAGTTAAAGAATTACTCGACTAGATTTCAAAATCTGTAGTTGATATTGTCGCCTTTTTAAAACTGATTAATGAATTTAAAATTGTTTCAAATAATTTAAGAAATATTCATTTCAATTTGTATGATTGTATTTTGATCCTTACATACAAGAACATAAATGGTTAATATACTCGATATCATACTAGCTCAGTGTCTCAAATTCAAATACATCACCTACTTTTCGTGAATTTATACATCAACGATTCGAGGTCAAAATACCATACAGGGAATAATATTAAACTTAATGAAAATATAAAATTATGTAGATTTTTTTATGCAATTCAAAATTTCAGAATTCAAAAGTGATTGCTTCTATGTTGAATTCTTTATATGAATCCAAATATTACATTGTTTAATTAGTTGTCAGTTTTAAAAAAAATATATACATAATAAATATATACGTACTGAGCCCTACCATAACTAAAAAAAAAAAATTACAATCTATAATCAATGTGATATTATATATTATTATGGACCTTGAAGGAAATTAATTCTACTCCTAATTATATGATATATGGATTGACCGTACAATATATAAGATGCAAAGAATAAAAATATACGAACGCTATTGAAATGTTGAATTAAATTGTGCAAAATTTTGAAATTGACTGAAATAAATGATGAAATATTGATAAACATTTTAAAGCTAATTGATTTTTATTGTTTAAGAACCAAAGTCAAACTTTATAGAAGGTGCACCAATAGGTCTATCTAGATAAGGGTTGCCAACTAAACGTATTATTCTTAGCTAAATGGTACTTATAGTGAGCAAGAATTATTTTGATTATCATCATCATTTCACGAGATATGAGAAACTTATCACAAAAAATGAATTAATAATATATACATGCAATATATATTATATACGTACAACTTAATGCTAGAAAAAAAAAATTTAAAAAAAAATTATTATACTGTTACGCTGTAACAATTAAATATTGTTGTCTATCACTGCTGGTATAAGGTGTGTAATTTATTATACGCAATGATGGATCTATACCAAACAGGGGAATGTGAGAGGATTTGGATGTTAACCCAAATTTAAAATAAAATAAATGTAATATAAATTATTTTACTTTACCTATGACCTGGCATCAACAATACACGGGATCGAACGAGACTAGTTCGGAAGATGTATGTCTAGCAGGCGGAACGGTAATAATTATAATAGATGATGTTTATTTATCGAAATTGAAAATAGTTATACCTGTATAATGTATATGGTGGGACTCCTTGATATTACAGAAAAAATGAAAGATGACACGCGAGCCTGTGATATATTTGTAGTGTAAACTGTAAACTACTATACGTAATATTATAACTATAAAAATATGAAAACTGTAATGGTGTTCCACACCATTACAATACGTTCTAATGTTTCACAATCTAAGAATTGTAGGGAATACCTAATTGCTGTCCTTTTACGAGGTATATCATCAAAAATAATTTTACAATGATCTACCGATGGAAGTCAAGTGTTTGCATGAATGTTGATACAATTTTTAATTTAATATGAGGTTATTTATAAATTGCTGCAGTGCTTTGAAACAATAAAGAAATATACATGAAGTTAACAATATTGTTATTCCACTATCAGCCGTGATAAATTGGATATTTGAACGCAACCGACGTCCTCTCCATAGCAGATGCAGTACGCCTTTACTAATTGTAAGCGTATTCAAACAAAGTTATGATTCTCAGGAACAAACTTAAAATAACATGTTAAATAGTTTCTCAAATCATTCTTGTGATCCTTTATTGCAAAGTATTAAT